CGTAATGGCCGTAATGGCCGTAATGGCCGTAATGGCCGTAATGGCCGTAATGGCCGTAATGGCCGTAATGGCCGTAATGGCCGTAATGGCCGTAATGGCCGTAATGGCCGTAATGGCCGTAATGGCCGTATAAGAAGTTCTATCCTTATCTCCACGCTGGTAAATTCTGAAATTGCGTTATATGGAATCGGCGGAAATTGCCAAAGCTCATAAGGTGAACTAAATAGGCTGTATCCCTTCAGACGCTGATAGGTATCACAATAAACATGAGTAGAAGCTATTGTTGAGAAAAATAAAGAATGAATAAAATGAAACCCAGATCACCCTCACCCTAGCCCTCACCCTCAAGATGCGCGAGAAAAATTTTTGTCGAAAAGGAAAACTATTTCAAGTATGTAATGCACGATTATGTTTCTTCGTGTTAATGCTGTTTCCTTTCCAGTGTCCGATCGTTGTGAATATTTATGGAACATGATACACTTCAATTATCGTATAGACATTGAAACTTTTCTGCAGGTGGCATATGAAGTTGTGCCCAATTGTAAGCTATAAATAAACTGTTATCTTTTATACACACTATCTCACAGTAAAATCATTTGTTATACGATAACACATATTATATGGAATGAAGTTGTGCACGTATATATTTCCAAATGATAGTTAAATTCGATTTTTTGTAATTTAATATCTCGATACAGGGGAATTATTCCGTCATTGATTATAGAATACACGAAAAGTGTGCCTTACGGCGAGGCTCTGTCGTACAATAATGAAGGTTCACATCATAACTTTTGTTTGTAAGATTATATGCACCGCGAATTGCAAAGAATGCTAATGCATTAAAATGCATTATGAGTATTGATCTTAAACTATTGTTGACAGATGACATGTTATTCAATGAAATACAGAGCTTAGTTTTTTATTCTTTTGTGAATGTCACGGCTGAATTTATTTAATGCAATTTCACATCAACCTAAGGTTTTTGTTAATTGATCAGGAAGAATCCATGAGTGACGTCATAATATCATTACCCCCGGGCATCCGTTTAAAACTCGACAACAGTATATAAAGAATCCGGAGGAATTGGAGTGAATTCGGTAGATATCCAGTGGGTAACGATATGGATATCAACGTATAGCTTTTGCTGAAGTTGATGTTCAAAACCACAGTCTAATAGAAACACGTAATGATATCAGTGGCAGTAAGAGCTATCGGAATCCAGAAGAGAATGTAATTCGGTATTTTACGCCTAAGTTGCTGAGCTAGAGTTGCTGAGCACACGAAGCCCTAGTCGAGGGGTTATTTGTTGGAGTTAAAGCCGCAAAAGGCTTTTGCGCACGTACCGAGCTTTCCCCACGCCCTCATGTTGTGCTGTGCCTACAGATTGAGTTTTTCCTCATACCTAGACCATCAAGATGATTCTGAAGTATGTATCTTTTATTTCTGGTAGCAAGATAGTTCGACTAAATTCACTCAAATTCCTCACATCTCAAAAGATACAGTTTGGTTATCCGGTATCGGGTAGCGGGCAACGGGTAATGAGATCGGCAGATGAAGTCAATTTGGTTATCTCCCTGGGTATCGATATCAGCCCGTTCTATCCGCGAGTAATCGCTTTAATATTACATAAAGAATATGACCATCATCTTGAGGGTGTGAGTGAGGTTGAGGGTAGTGGCTGAATACACCAAATCCACTCATATTCCTCAGTTTTCCGGGATACACTTCTATTTGGATATGGAGTTGGAAACATCGAGTCAGCTGCATATGGTAACATAGTTAACTCTCTGCTTTCGGATGAATACCGGGTATAACGGTTTTATGGCATCACGGTAATAACAAACAACAACAGATGGATTGAACCGAAATTCAAAAATTATGTTACAATCACGTCTTGCAAGCTTAATTTGACTGCCGTTACAGTTTAAAATTGAAACAGTCTTATAGGCAAATAATCTGTCGATATTATTACACAATGCATCAATATATTCATCAGTGTGCAGCTAGCATGAAGAAGCTAGCACGAACAACGATGTGTTAGCTAAAAACTTTTTTACTAAATATGTCCCGTCCATGAAAACTACTCCACTCGAGTCAGAATTTAATTTTGCATCGAATGGTGGTACTTTTATTCACGGGGCAAACTTTGGAAAAATTCTATCTGGATTATAAATAGACTTATAGAAAATGAACAAATATATGGATAGAAAATTTTCCAAAGTTTGTCCCGTGAATAAAAATACCACAATTCGATGCAAAATTAAATTCTGGCTCGAGTGGTGTGGTTTTCATGGACGGGACATATTTAGTAAAAAAGTTTTTAGCTAACACATCGCTGTTCGTGCTAGTCCCACATTGATAATATATTCAGTCTTCATTTTTTAGTGCCAATACGAATTCTTTGCTTTTAACACACAAAATTTGTTCAGATCATTTTTTTAAAGTAACTAATCATAAAACTTCGATCTAAGGAATCAATTTTGATTAAAATGACAAATTTTATCCCAATGTTTCAGATAAAATCTATCATTGAAATGATGGCAAGGAAAGAAAGATTGAAATCCTAGATAGCCAAAAGACTGTTGATAGATACCATAAGGTTCGTAATTGAATAACTTTAGTCCGGAGGCATTTTGCTAGTGCGCCAGGTTTCTCAATTAATTCAATACCTTTAACAAACTGTTATTAGACCGCATTAGAAGAAATATTCATCAAACAAATATCTCATTCCCCTCTCTGACGAGCTAGCAATGAGTCACATTCTCTTTCGTCTACACGCGTAAACTTTGACTTCTTTCGGTTCACACAAAGAACCTTCTCTCTCTGTCTCTCGCCATCATCTACCAGCAATTAAACTTAATTTTTAACCAACCAAGTCTCCTGCGCGAACAAAAAACAAGTTTTTGGTCTAGTCCATGCCTGCAAAGGCAAGAGATGGGCACTCATGCGCAATGGCAAAACATCAGAGCCTAGACAATGGGCCACGTCACTCGCCCGTCGCGCTCATTGTTTGAACTCCACAAAACAACCGACTAGCCAGAAACACCATCCAACCAAAATTTACGATTGCTCCTCTCATCCTCGAAAATACAAAATTAAATAAGATGCAGCTTAACGACGTAAAGCTGAACGAAATTCAATTTAAACCCACAGAAACTTTCACTTTATACGCGTATGGTGTGAAATCTTTCAACCGGCTACTGAACGACCTTTCAGCTTTTCCTTAGACAACACATCACTCTCACAGACTAGGACGACAACCTCTAAGATAATCCAACCATCTTTCTGTCTCTCCTCGTGAAGACAGTTAACGACTACATATGATGTACATATTCTCGTTCTCCAACTCTACTCGTTTTGCTCTATACGTTAATGACAACGTGGAACAACACTCTTCTCGTCACTATTCATGTTACCGTCCATAACATAAATCACTGTTAAGTCCGCCGAATCTGTAAAAAAATTGTTATATCGGAATCACGTACGAAACGGTTGATCAAGAACGAAGAAACGACGATTATCGACGTATACGTCGGCCCGTTCCTGCACATATACGTCGAAGTTCCATCGAAGAAAATCACCACTACGCTACCATGCAACTTCACACGGTCCAACCTAACCTCCACCACGCTCTTTATACATCTAATTTTTGTTTTTCTTCTCTCTACGAGACATAAGTCATGCGTCTCCTTTTCTTCTCTGCCACCTTTATGAACAGTTTGTCCGTTGTCTCTCTTCTTCTCTTTCCGTTCTTTTTCATTCTTGTAAACTGATTGTTTATCATCGAATAAAGCGTTGACTCCATTTAAAAAAATCATCTTTGAAAGAATTTCGAAGACAAACATTTTTGCTCAGTTGAAAACAACGGTCCGTGAGTTGACGACGATAATCAATCACCAAAGTCAAGTCAAGCATAAGAAAAAGAAATCTCCTACAATTTCGATGATAGCAACAATGTGTTGTATATCAAAGAAACATCCAATCAGCGTTCGTCTCAGAAAGAGCGCATGCATTAGTGAAAGAGATTTCTTGAGCACTTCATAGATGACACACTGTTATTTGATGTTCAAGATGATAACCAACCTCCTCACACGCAATCGAGAATAACTGAATACACCCGTGCATCTGATCGATCGACAACGACGTTATCACCAGTAACTTCGTCTTCATGACGTAAAAGAGTATCTTCAAAGTTGACATTGTCGACGTTTATAACTATATTGTATTGTCCAACGCATAAAGGTTTGTCTAGAAACAAAAAAAGCATTTCATGGTGGTATCTTTCTATCCAGAAAAGCATTATCCTGCGACCGTGAGCATATTGCAACAGAAAAAATTCATCTCAGACTTTGACGAGCAAAAAGCTCCTTCACACAAAAAACTCCAATCCAGTTCGACGTTTCAAATCTGCGCACAAACATATTGAACTTCCATTTCACATTTTGAAGCCAATACTTTCGAGAGTAAGGTACCGACCAATATAAATAAAAATTCAATCTTTCCACATTTTTCGATAAAATTGTGACAGCTAAAATTCCAAAACCCCCCACAAAATTTCTTATATTTTTTTCTCAGATATCAGATTCAGACACTCATATCTCGAGTGGTCCTAACCGCAGTGCCCTGGCTTCAAAATTCCACTGTTCGGACAATCGTAATAGAAGGTCCATCACAATTTCCCTACCTTGGAAATTGGGAAATTCTCCATTACGGCCATTACGGACATCCATAATAGAAGGTCCATCTCAATTTCCCAACCTTGGAAATTGGGAAATTCAGTTTCCGGAAATTTATGCGTGAGTGTGTTTCCATACAATTTCCCGGCAATCGCTATAAGGCATCATATGGCGATCTCTAAATAATCGTTGTCCTTCACCGATATAATATTTCCCTTTTGTAGCGTAGAATCTCTGTGGCTCATCGTTCCCCAGCGAATTCACAAAGGAGTATGATATTTTTCCCATTAAATGAATGACAACAAATATTTGTTGCATAGATGGTAAGAATTGATCTGGTTTCTTAATCAAATCGTAGGCTATTAAATTGTTTTCCACAAAATGGTACAAAAAACGATTGTCACAACCATCAGATATTTTATATAACGAGTATCGAGCTAAAAGTAAGTGGAAAGAGCCGCCAGTACATGCACCCAAGAATGATAAACGAGCATTTTCGATTGAAAATTCGTACATGCCTGTAGTTTTCGAAGATTCTGAAAAACCATCAAAGGCTTCGCATAACAATGAACGATGAGAAACCGCTCCTGCTTGTCCTACATCAAAAGATGTCAATGAAAATCTCGCAACATCAATTACAATTCTGCGAATTCAACTTTTGCATTTTAAAACCTCATTTCGAATCAAACGACAACCCTTCTCTCAAAAGCTTTGAATTATTACTTCAATTCATGCTCTGAGAAACGTTGATTGTCATATGACAAAAGTGAATGATCTTGGCTAGACTTAAGATTTGCAATTTCGGCACATGTATTTAGATGAAGAAGATATGAAATGCGAGAAGCATAGAGTAAAACAAGTTGTAAGAGATATTATTTGCCTTTCGTATTTTTCACATGATCTATTACGATCAAAATAGGAATGAATTCCAAGTCAAACTTTTTACTAAAACAACCGCGAAAATCTGATATTTGAACCAGATCAATTCGTCAAGCTCGTAAACAAAGAAAACTGCGCGTTCAAATCGGCTATATAAGGAGCTTTCGTCAATTTTGATCGAAAATGTTGGATAAAACCAGAAACCGTGCGATCACTAGCTGATGTAGCTTACATAACAATCAATGCGTAAAAAATCTATGCTAAATGGCAATGTCATCTGAATTATGAAATAGAATTATAATTGAAAAAATTGATTCTTTTATATCTATGTGAACCTCTTCTCGACTTATTGATGAGTACAAGCACAGTGAACATATGAAAGAAAAAATGCAATCTTTACCAGCCTGATAGAAGCCCAGCTTGTTCAAGTTAGCATCTGCTTCGTGCATTAGTAAGAATTTACTTCCAGAAGCTAATTCCTTGTGTAAACCAGCACCAGTAATGTCATAAACAATGGACTTCTTTCCATCCACAACATAAGCTTCAGGAAAAAGGTTCTCACATGCTTTGTAACAAGATTGGATAATATTTATGAGACCACTTTTATCCGAACCTAAGCCAATTATATGACTACCTTTCCTATTTCAATTCCATTAGAGGTATTTTATTTAAATGAAAATAGATCAAACAGATGTTAATCAATTCGAAAGTAGTCCTTTTGTCATAGAGATATACATCTTTTAGCTACATCAATAATTGCAGTCATATGCTAGATGTCGATAAGTTCTTGCAGAACTCAAACTACTTCTTTGATTTAACATAAAAGGAAAACAACAAAAATGGCATGTGAACGAAATACGGCGAAATCCTAATTGAGCTTTGCGTTTTTTATGCTGCTTCATAATGTTTTCATATTTCTAAAATCAGAACGGCGTCTTTGAATTGAATTTAACTGTCTGAATGACGTTGTGCAGTTAATACACACGTGCTAGTTTCAATCTATTCCCACAAAACGTCATTATAGCAATAACTGAGTATCACAGTGAATGAATAAATAAATAAATATGTATATATAACATTTTTGCCATATGAAAATGAGTTTCCTCTACATTCATATTCCAACCCAACCCAACCCTATCCTACCCAACCCAGCCCAAACTCAGATACAAAACTATATTATGTATATTTATATTGTAGGAAATTCATTTTTAATTATTTTTCAATTTCCTGGAAATGGAAATTTTCCATGCCCTCAATAATTTTTCATTCCAATCATTTACATTAGAATTTTTGGCTATAGAATGTAATCTAATTGCTTCAAACCATTCTTGTTCGTTTGGATATAAACTATTTAATTCTGATTTTTTTGCTTGATAGAATATATTTAGTAAACATCAGTGATCGTTTAGTCAAATTGAACAATATATTTTATTTAATAATTCCATACATGTATATTTTTTACGAAATATCGCGTGAAGTTTCATTTGAGATGATTCATTTGTTTCTCTATTGGTTAAAATATCCTTCTCGGTTATTCTTTTTCCTGTTCGTCATGTAACTGTACGTTTATGATTGAGTTGAAAGAAAGAAAGAAAAAACACGTACGTATATATGAGTAATCGCCGAAGAAGAAACGAAAGAAAAAAATCCATGTGACTTCGACTGTTTCTATTTGATTCTTTATTCTCGTTATATATAAATTCGTTTTTCTCATATTATCGTAACAAAATGTCTTCGTATATTTTCAAAACAGTCGTTGGAAATGAAATAAATCAAGTTGTAAAAGGTAAAAATAGGTTAATGAAATGAAATCTACACGGAATTATTCTATATAGAATTTGGCTTTGGTAATGATTCAAAAGAAGATACAGATGTCGCAAGTGGAATGTCAGCTTCAGAGATTCTAGTTTGAATATTTTGTTTATATTTAAAATCATGTTTTTTTCTATCGTCTAATTTAGGCTGAAGAGAAAAAACAAAAAGCAGAAGCTGAAGAACGAAGAGCACGACATGCAAAAATTGAACAAGAACGTGTAGAAGCACGACAAAAAATACGAGATAAAGTATAATTATTATTTATTTATTCTCCAACATTCATTTCTTTTTTTCTTGTCTCTCAGTACAATATAAAAAAGAAGGATGAACCTACTTCAACACATAAATCTGCACCTGCACCAGTAGTACGTGCACCATCTCCATTACCACCTGTTACTCAAAATCAAGGTAAAAATCTTTAAATTTGCTTTCTAGAAAATCTTATTCTAATTATTTATTTTAGGTTTTGATCCAATTAAAATGACTAGCAATGCTTTTAATAGTCTCAAAGTCAAATTTGGATGGAAATAATTTGCTATTTGTTATATATAATCTCTGTTGAACAAAGATTTCTTCATTTTTGCTAATATTCTTCAATCGAAAAAAACCAATTTGTCTTAAAAATTATCGAATAGTAAAGATTATAACTAATTCTTTTATATATTCATTGAGAATCGAATGATACTTTATATGCAATAAACACATACACAATTTACGTATTTAATATTCAATAGAACACTCAATCCATGGTTTTCATTACGATTATAAATAATTAATAGTTCACGAAATTTATTCAAAGAAAAAACAAACACAAAATAAAATGAGACATCAAATATTATGTTTCTTAATATCTACAATTTTATGTTGAGTACTAGTATGATTTTGAAATCTATCCAAAGTTCGTTTCGTATCGCTACAACATTGAAATCGTATATCATTGTAAAGCATATGTTTTGCTGTTAAATGTGAAATTAATGCAATAGGATCGAGAGAACGATCTTTATTCTTACAATAAATACATTTATTAGTTTTGCCAGCTGATATAAGTAGTATTAAAGGATGAGGATCTAAATAGACTTTTGTTGGTTGATTTGCAGCTAAACATTGAGCCACACCTTTGTTGCTGAAGGCATTACTTTGTTCTTTTCTTTGATGATTATGAAATTCGAGTAAGTGATCAAACTCTAATTTGCAATTGCAGATTAACTTAATTCTAAGATGATGTTTATCTCGAAAATGTTGATAGAAATCTTCGAAATTATTACAAAATTTCCAGCAAAGAAGGCATCTATTTTTTGATTTGTCAATTAGATTGTCTTCATGTTCATTGTTGGATGAATGTTTCTCGATATAACCATATTCCTGATTTCTTTGTCTGAATTGTCTTAATAGTTCTCTCAAATTTCTAGGTGTTGGATTTGTAAATATCTCATTAGAAATCCGATCGTTACCATATTCTTCAGATACAGTCCGAATTATTTCTTTGTATATTCCATCACCTCCATGAATAATTATAATAAATGAATATTTATCAACTAATTTTCCTAGGAAATAAATCAATTTACCATCGGTTGCATTTTTTGAATTACTCTCGAGGACAGGATAGAGGTGAATTTGTCGATATGATTTAAGATAATTAATTTTGTTAGATAGGTTTGAATCATTATCATTCCAAAATAAATAACAATCACAATTTGATGGAATTTCAGAAAGAATTGTTTTGTCATCGAATAAACTTGCACGTCCACCATCACAATCAAATAAAAGAAGTTGTTTATAATTTACGGACATTTTATTAAAAATTACCGAATGGTTCTTCTCTAAAAGATAAAGATTAACTTTATATATTAACATTTCTATTCAATCATTATGAATTCGATAGCTATTTTATACTAAACGAGTACTATTCGACTAAAGTAATCATATTTTCTAGATTCAAATACTCATTCATGTAGATAATTGCTCCTATTTGTTCTCTTTTTCAAACTTACAACAGATGTTACATATAGTAGGGGAAGAAAGTTTAAGGCACTTTAATTTTGAGTTTTTTTCAACAACGATAGTAGCTCGACGAAATCCAACTAGTGAATCGGATAGCCCGTGAAATTATCTATCGAATGCAGTATGTGTCAAGTATTCAAAAAAAACTTTTTCAAAAAATTTTTTCAAGATGCCGAACCTCCCATTTTTAGGTCGTAAAAAAAGTCGACAAAAATTTTTCTAAATAAATTCATTCGAAAGAGGAGAAAATTCTGAATCGAATGACGTGCTGCTCGACTCTCAACAATGTTCCCATGTAAAGTTATAAGCATTAAAAAAGTGGCAAAAAACACGTTTTTTTCGACTTTTTTAATGCTTATAACTTTACATAGGAACATTGTTGAGAGTCGAGCAGCACGTCATT